CTGCTCAGGTTCATTCATGCCTGAAATTATAAATGCTGAGGTCTTTTTCCACCAGTAAAGCTGGGAAGTCTCCATATGACCTAAAATTGTGTTGGTGGGACGTAAAACCCAACCAAAAAAAAAATCAAACTATGACATTGAGTTACCAACAATGTAAGGCCTCAGATAGACTGCCCAGGTTTGTCAGCGGGCCTTGCTCTATACTGGTGGCAAAGGCTTATAACTTTTGGTTCATATTAATAAGACTGTGAAGTATTTGTTGACTCACTCAACTCCTACATTGTTAGTAATAATGACTTGATGAAGTAGAATAATTTCTTCACATTTTTGATTAGTTACAAAGGAGAGAATTCTCTAGAGAAGTTCCTGAAATAGGCATTTAGGAGATTGTATCAGTAAAGCTGCAGATTAAACACTTTATATGCTCCGTCAATTACCTACCGGTCTTAATTGTCATCTTGTACTATAAAGAAGGTCCAAGAATATCTCCACATTATAGTACTTATACTTGCAACAAAAGAAGTATTACATTTTCATTGTAAACAGTTTTTTCTGTTTCTTATCAACCATATTTATGTTTTTAATTTTTCTCAAAACTAAAATTGTTCTTCCTGAACCTTAAAGTGCAATGTGGTATAGTCATGACATTACAATATTAATAGCTGTTAAATCTATGTATTTCAAATTCAAAGCCATCATACTTAACAATGAATTGTTTTTCAAATTCAAGGCAGGATACTGTATTAAATGTGTTTTACAAGTACAGCAGTGTCAAGGCTATAACTTAGTCTCTAAAACAGCAATATAATTACCCAGTATGTTAAAGTACATGTATATGTAAGTTAAAGCAAGAAAGTAATGACTATTTAATGAGGCTATTTTTTTGTTTTTGTTTTTTTTACCAGTATGGAGTTGATGCTCAATGACACTGCTAGTAACAATTTTTGTTAATAAAGAATTGAAAAATATATTCTAAAATATATAAAAACTTTATCGGATTATGTACATTGTACATCTTAACCTCGGAATACGTATATCCAACTTGTCTGAATAACATAATATTTTGTATTGAACATATCAGTTATAGTAGAAAATTTGCATAAAAGCCCAATTTCTGGTGGTATCCGAGAGATAACTTTCCTTCAGAAATGATACAAAAGCTAATTGTACAAATATAAAACAATGTTTATTTATGAAGTTGAGGATTTATTTTATTGTTGGCTGTAATAAGTTTTGCATTTTCTGGTTTGTGTTACAGCAGAACGTTCATTCTGCACCAAAATCCCAGAAAATTAAGTATTTCTATTGACATCTGCCAAATAAAAAATGGTGCATTTGCCAGGCATACAGTTCCAGAACAATTAAGTAATAAATTAGAAACCAACAAAAAACACATATATTGGGTCTGCATGCTTTACAGTGGTTCAACTGAGAAAGAGTTAGGTGTTTATAACATTCATATGTTAAATGAACACTTATTTTTTTTATAAATTGCAGAGTTATTGGATTTTTTTTAATTATGTTAAAATGATTGTAACATGATTTTTAAATGGTAGTATTAAGTATATTAGCCACAAAATGATCAGTTATAATTAAAAATGAAAACAATATTGCATTATTTGTTGCCAAATGTGTGGAAAAATAAACCTTACAGTGCCAGGTACAGTCGACATTGTATTAAGAGACCACTCAAGGGACTGCCAAAAAGTGGTCTCTTAATAAAGTGGTCTCTCAATAGAATTCTGGAAAATTCGAGACTTTATTATATTACAAGTCATAGATATAATAACATCTTTTTATAAAAACAAAAACTGTACAATATTATATAATCATTATGTATTACAGTTTCATAATTACATTTATGCCTTTTGTTTAAAAAAGTCATCAATATGTGTTTGTTTTTTTTAGTAAAAATTTGTGTACAAATGTGATCTACGCTCATAATGCTATTAACAGGTCATTTTGACCTTGAAACAAATAATTTGCATCAGATGAGCACCTAGATCTACACCATCAGCAATGAAAGGCTGTAATGTTTAGTCCACTACGTTTCACGATTTTATTTTGACTACAAACGATGGCATTTGCTATTTACTCAGACTCAATTCCATGCACGATTTCCTCATTCAATTTATCCGGTATTATTAGTTGTCTGTCATTTTTTCGCTCGTTCCGACGTCATTTTTTTATTTGATTTCCTGGAAGGGAGGTCACTCTGAGCACATGACAAAACTGTGCCAATGCGGTGTTGTGATACGTTATTGCTCTGACAAAATATGTCACAATAAATATTACTATCGGAAAACTGTTTCTTTCTTTCCGATTTTGAAACGATTGCAATTGTTATTAAATTTCGTTTTTAAACGACAATTATTTGTGACGGTCTAATTGACGGCCGTTTAATAGATACTTTAAGACCAATGAACCATGAAAGATATTTGTTTGTTCAAACCTACTCGCTAATTACACAGGTGAGAATGTCCGTAGGGACGATTGTTTGTCACGGCCGTTTTAATAGATACTTTAACACTGAATTTTGTACATTTGGGCGGACATTTAGTGGCCGCTGGCCGCGATATAAAATCGTCGTTTAATGGAATTAACTTATATAGTAAAAATCATCGGGAGGGATTTTATGCGGCCGCTTAATAAAAAAGTCGCTCAATAAAGGTGGACGCAAGTACGATGCCGACTGTATATATCTCAGCTAGGCAAAACTGGGTATCAGGACATATAATGTGATCAGAACATGATGAGTTAAGAGCATGATGAGATCAGAACATGATGAGTTAAGAGCATGATGAGATCAGAACATGATGAGTTAAGAGCATGATGAGATCAGAACATGATGAGTTAAGAGCATGATGAGATCAGAACATGATATGATCAGAACATGATGTGATCAGAACAATTGATAGTGTTAAACATCTTCATTTGACCTGCTTTAGTTTGCTATTGTCTTTTGTTTTGTTTTTTTGAGAATTTTACAATGAATATAATAAAATAATAAATGATACAGGAATGTTTATGTAAATTTGTCTTTTTTTCTTTGACATGATTACTGTATATAATTATTGGCTTTGATTTTGAACATGGTCTATACCCAGGTGCCCTCGTGGATTAGAGGGTCATCTCAAATATACATAAACCTGTATGGTAACAGAAAGACAATCTGACATGAAAAATAAATTAATGTAACACAATTGATTGCATATTGTGAACAATTGATAGCTTATTGTGAACAATGAATAGCTTATTGTGAACAATAATTAGTTTTTTGTGAACAATAAATAGCATATTGTGAACAATTGATAGCATATTATGAACAATGAATAGCTTATTGTGGACAATGAATAGCTTATTTTGTGAACAATGAATAACTTATTGTGAACAATGAATAGCTTATTGTGAACAATGAATAGCTTATTTTGTGAACAATGAATAACTTATTGTGAACAATGAATAACTTATTGTGAACAATGAATAGCTTATTTTGTGAACAATGAATAACTTATTGTGAACAATGAATAGCTTATTGTGAACAATGAATAGCTTATTGTGGACAATGAATAGCTTATTGTGAACAATGAATAGCTTATTGTGAACAATGAATAGCTTATATTGTGAACAATGAATAGCTTATTGTGAACAATGAATAGCTTATTGTGAACAATGAATAGCTTATTTTGTGAACAATGAATAACTTATTGTGAACAATGAATAGCTTATTGTGAACAATGAATAGCTTATTGTGAACAATGAATAGCTTATTGTGAACAATGTATAGCACATTATGAACAATGAATAGCATATTGTGAACAATGAATAGCTTATTGTGAACAATGGGTAGCACATTGTGAACAATGAATAGCATATTGTGAACAATTGATAGCATATTGTGAACAATGGATAGCATATGTGAACAATAGATCATGTATATGGTGGACAAGACTTGCTAATTAAAAGGAAATAATAATCAAGATTATATTTTTTTAAACAAGGAAGATTCCTTTTACTATGTTAGTTGTCTTGTTGTTATGTAATATGGTAATTGTCATAAGTGAAGCGTAGAATTTGGGAGTATTTTACTGCATTTTCTGGTCTGGTTCTCCCATTATGTTTCTATATCCAGAGACTGGTTAATATATATTCCAGGTGTAAATCATCAAGTGTGAAACTATTACCTGTCATCTAGTTACACAATTATCACTAAGCTCTAATTATCTTATATAACATCTTATGCTACTTCTTTATTCTATTTCCAATACATGACTGCCTTTAATCATCCATTTATTTTATTGGTATCAGTGGTTCAGTCTGTAACATTTAAGTACAAAAGATATATCGGTAAGACATGATAAGAAATATTAACTTGTGACTTGTCTGAAATTTTTACTATTTTTTATTTGCTTTATTTTGGTGTGTTAAATTTTTTCGACTTCAAGCAGCATGCCTAATTTTCATAAAAAAAATTTCAAAATGTATTAAAAAGTAACATATAGTCCAGTGAGCAAAGAAAGTAATTTATGAATAGCAAATGATACTTTAAATCTATAAAATTTACTAAAAAATAGGTCAGAAAATGCAAAAATATGCCTTATTGTGCTAGTCATACAGTACAAATTAAGTGATAAATACTGCAAAATCAGTCATTCATTGTATATATTGTGTAAATCATTTCCTGAATTGTGTATATTTTTACTTTTCTTAATATTTTTGAACATTTTTCTTATGGTTGATTTCCTTGAAATAGTTTGGTTCCCAAGGATAGAGGCATGCAGCTTTAATGCTACAAGTAAATTATACAAGCATATTTTACCAAAACGGGCTGATATTCAGTACTCAATTGTTAAGAGTTGATAAATTTACTGTATTTAATATTCATACAGGGCCATCTTTGGTCGCCATTGCTCAGTAGGTAAAAAAAATGGTTGGCAAACTGTTTTTTTAATGTGAAAGTATTCATTACTAATAGATTTTTTGTTTTTATATATTTTCAGATAGAGTTACTGACTCCAAAACAGAATGGTTCAATGGATGACGATCAAGAGAAGAAAAACCCATCCACTATACGTGGCATGTGGAAAAAAGCATTTAAAACATTGAAAAGCTCATCCTCTGTTGAAAAACTTGTAAGTACTTCATATACATATATAAAAGTCCTCCATTTACAAGATAGTGATGCCTGCAATATAATGCCAATCTTATACTGAAATAAATACAGTTAAAAGCTCATAATAGGACTGCTTCCATGATTTATGTTGAAATGTTATCAAATCACATAAATATTAAGTATTATCTTACTGATATAAATACAGTCAAGGGCATTAAGGAAGGGCTTCCATTATTTCATGTTGAAATGATAATTACCATATGACATAGATATTAAGTATTATCCATATTAGGACAAAAATAATAGCTTGCTAGGAATCACAGAAATCAATTTTCAATTTAATTCTGACATTAAAACGAAACAATTAAAAAACCAATATCATTAAAAGCCACAACTGATTTACACAAATTAATTGATTTTTAATCTACATACAAATTTTAAAGCTCTTAAAAGCACTCTGCTTTTGAAAATGGGACACATCCAGGGGCATTAATCAGAAAAAATACGGTATGATATAATGCTGAAAGGCATATATTAAAAGAAAGGTCAGTCTCATGCTGATATTGTAAAACATGGCAAATGACATAAATAATTTTGTATAGACATAATTGAAATGTCATGATCTTTATGTGGTTGACAACTGGTCATGTAATAAAATTGCTGGTACTAAAGAAATAATCTATATTGGAGTAAGAAGAATTGTGCCTATAAAATATCAATAATTATAGTCAAAAGAAGAAACATTAAAGGTCATTATCAAAAACTTAATTGAGCATGTTAATAACATGTTTAATGAGGACAGGTTACTCTCTAATATCCCCCTAGTATCAGCTTGATGAAGATTTCAACATGTGAAAAAATCATTGCAACAGTGAAAAAAGAATTTTTCAGGTCAAATTATATACCATAACTAATGTACACAAAACATGTAGTTGCACATTTAAAATAATAAATGAAAAATTGTCAAGTTACGAATTCTTACATTAAGTTTGAAATTATTTTTTGTCCAATAGGATTGCAGTATTTCAAATGAATCGTAACACATTTACTTTGGTAAATTGGCAAACTGTTAATCAGTCTAGTAAATCGACTGTTTATAAAATAATTTAAAACACTAAGCTGGTTATAATTTTTAGTACGTATTTACAAAATTAAAATAGTCACATGGCTGCGCCACGCCTGACCAATTTAATTTTGAAAATACGTACTAATAAAATTTAACCTATACTAAATGATGTTTTCGTAAAACACAACAAAAATATAAATCATTAGAGATTACTTAATGGCTTATCATAAGCTTATGTCCCTTTACATTGTGCCTGTATAGACACTTAGAAGGTTCCATGATCAACACTATGTGAACACATCTACAGATTTTTCTAAATTTTCATGTCTAGATGATTATTGTGTTTAACTTAAGCTGGGAAAGTTACATAATAAAACTACCTTTAAAGTCTGTTAACAACTTTATGTAAATACATGTATATAGAGAGCATTTATCAAAATATTAGATATATGGAATTTTAACATGATTGTGTTGCTTTGGAAACAGAAATCTTTCTTTGAGACAAATAAAGAAGATATTGGAAAAATATATAGATAATAAGACCTATAATTAGTAAGCTTACTTTATAGAGCATTCAAATAACACTGTTTACATGCTAATTACAGAGATTTCTCAAGGTGTGGTAGATATTTAATTCTTGTCATTTACAGACTTCCTCACAAAACATGGCAAGAAAATTACTTTATCCATTTAAGGCAAATCAAACCATATCATAATATTGGTTGTTTTCTGTTTTTGTACTTGATTATTTCAACAGAAATTTTTTTAAAAAGTAGTTTAATAATAATAATGCTCTAATTGAATAGTGAACATCACCTGATCTTGGTTTGTAATGGTCACATTAAAAGGTAAATGCAGTTCTTAGTCTGTTCCCTTTTTCAGACATTTTTCTTTCATCTATGTAGATTTGTCATGTTAATAATTAACTTTTCATCTTAAAGGTAATGGTTCATATTTGATTAAAAAAGTATTTAGTTTTTCTGTGACATTTATGAAGCGGTTATAGTCTTAAAGGCAAGCGGTTTCTTTTGAAAGGTACTTTGGTTTAGTAAGAGATTCTGGCACTGGAAAATGATTGTATTCAATATTTGACAGCATATTTACACCTTTTCATCCCAGGAGGACATATATTTACATATTTTTGATGTGGTTTGCCTGCTCTAATGGATGAAAACTTGAAATATATTAATGTGTCATGGTATTTTTGAAAGCCATTTTCTCTGTATAAAGTGTTAATTATGTGATGATTTAGGTCAAGTTTGCATAATTTTGTTCATCATTTATAAGGCAGGCACAATGTTATTGGTTTCAATGGAGGAATTTTTTCTGCTAAGCAGATAGTTTTATAGCTATTACATGTTTTGGATCCTGGCTTAATTAGTCGCCGGTAGAAACCGGCGACTATATTTGTAACAGTTTAATATTATACCTATGGTAGGAGAAGGCATTAATTTCTGTAAATAAAAGCATAACAATTACTGAACAATTAAAGACCACAATTGTTTTCAGTAATCTCAAAAATTCAAACATACAATAATGTTGCTCAATGAAATGAAATATTCAAATATTGACATCGTAAAAAGCAACATTACAGTTTTTATAAAATGAATTAATAACGTATCCCTATGGATAAGTCATTGAATTTAGGGATGTTTTTCCTTTTTTCAAAGTGTCAAGCGTTGCTATTTTATGATAAATAAATCATGCATGATATTTGAAATGACACTTTTAAATTATCTGGTTGTTTGTATGTTATGAGACCTATTCTATTTTTTTATCTTATTTATTATAAACAGCTTCTCCCAGAATCACGTGACTACACGTTATATGTTATTGTTATAAAATCTATTAATAGTAACAAATGGCTGATTAGACAGACATACAGGTAACTTGTGAATGGTTGGCAGCTGATAAAAGTGCAAATCAAAGTAATTTTGTATGAAAAATCTCGGTATGACAGTAGGGCCGGAATCGTATTGGATACACAGAGAAAACTCGCACTGAAAGGCAATTAAACGTTAACTATATCGTATGTAACGAAATGAATATTGATTTCAGCTAAATAATATATTTTTTCGATAGTGCATAAGAATAATTGTTTTATGCAGACACCACTTTTACAGTAGAATTACATTGTTTTATGCAATAATTAAGCATATATATTTTCAAAGTCACTTTGCAAATATTCAATGATCGGTAATAATTTGACGGTAATTATCGGATTCTGAAGAAAACCATACGGAGTTCAAATGTATGGTACAACGGTATATGTATAAAGTAGAATTACAAGTAGAATTATAATCATATCACTTGCTTTACAAGCCTCGATGACAAGGTGTTAGATTTATAGTTACTGTAGGTTCAATAAAGTGATTTTTTATGTTTTCTTTTATAATACTTTTTGCAATTGCAAAACTTGACGATTTATCAAAATTATGAAATAAAAAAGTGCTAGAAATGTTTCATAAAGTTGAAAGATATAATAAAAATCAATTTATGAAAACTACACACAGGATTTGTCCAAGATTCGAACTTGCGCCTACTACATATGTAGGTTACAACTTCGTCATACTTACCACTAGGCCATCGAGCAGTATTAATTGATATAATTATACATGTAATTATACTTACAAAAAAATCGTTAACATTATTCATAATAAATTATGTAAGCTAACAAAACAGCTCCCGAAAATTATTGAGTCTCGGGTAAATATTGCCAAACAATACTTGCTTATTTAATAATGATAACAGTTTCTTGACAAAATTGCTAAGCAAGTTTGCTTCAAATATGATGTTTTATTATAACATAACATATATAAATTCATTGCATAAAACTCTTTTACAAAGTTTATAGCAAGAAAGATGTAATTGTGGCAAGTACATGAAAACGTGTTTATGAATAAACATTACTGAACTTATTGTTCCTCATTTCTTTATACTCGAACCATTAAACTGATATTTTCTTTTATTTATGATAATACAATCATATTTCTATCCGGCGACTTGATGCTTTAGCATCAAAATCTCTACTTGTGTAAGTTACTGTGATACAAAAGTAAAGGTAAACATTGTCCAAATTAAACTGGGTAAAGGTTAAGGGATCCTAGAATCCAATTCATCCCAATATTTTGAAAATTGGTTAAATTTGATTATCTTTTTATATATACTGAAACCAAAAAAGAAACTTTTGCATAGTATGTGCCAGTTGTTCAAGGGTACCACTTAGATGTACACACTTATATACATGTAGTAGCTTGTAAAACTTGTTTTGTTTGCAAAATCGGTCAGCTAATCCCCGTATAAAAGCCCGATATGTTTATTCAACGTAAAAATTGAGTTTCAAAAGGATTGTAAAACTGTACTAACATGTCTACATTCAAACTTGGTGAAAGTTTCTTTTTTGTTTCAGTATAGTCCCAAAAATTTGGGAAATTTAGGTTATGATCCCTGTTTGCAATGAAAACTAATGGTTGAAATTTACAGAGTTGTGTTATGTAAGTCTGTCAATGAGAAATAATCACATGCCCACTTGTACCAGTTTAAGTGGTGTTCAATATTCAACACAAAAAGTTAGGGCTTTTGTAACTATTCCAAACACCTCTTACAATTGGATAGAAGAAATATTATGATATTTAACTGAAAGTGTATCGTTTTAGGAAAACTGTATGTTGCCATTTTTGCATCAAGAACCAAACTGAAACTAATGTCCAGTCATTTTTGATTGGCCTTTTGTTTATTTTTGTCACTGCTAATAGAATCACATTTTCCATGATAATGATTTTCCTATTGTTCACTTTCTACTTGCATTCCCTATAGAAATGTAACACCCAATATAAATATGTAGTGATAGTGGATTTAAATTCTAGAAATAGATAGTAAAAAGGGATAGCTATATAGCTATATTTTGAAATCAGCAAAAAGAAATTTACTTCTGCACATAGATATGATATTGA